TTAGGTGATAAGTTGTAAACTAGAGTTGTTTAGACTTTGAACTAATACTATCTTAGTGGATTTCCTTTCTGGTTTGGTAGCCCCTAGAGTAGGTAACGTTGTACCGAACTGAGTTAACAATTGATTGTGTTGTTCTATTAATTAATTCATGTAATTATTACTCATAAATTGCAAAATCCACTGAGTTGTGAAATAAACACACTATCATGAGTTCAAAATGTATTCAGAAGTTAGTGTGGAACTTAACCTACATACTCACCATTCTATCAATACGAAGATTGATTTCCGTATTATTTTTTAGCAATATGGAATGACTAACTAATAAAGTATTTTGGCATATATTAAGAGAGGCGAAAGTTTAATTTTATACTACCCCTAAGACATTTTTGAATTTCATAAGAATAATTCTTCACCATTAAGAATGTAAAGAGCATCCCTTAAAATTTAAGGTTGACATGACTGCTCTGTTTAGAGTTGCATAACCTGTTTTCTCATGGCATAATCCATATTCTCATAACTACACGTAACATTTTTGAAAAGAAAAGAGATATATTTCAATAAGAGATATAATATCAATTAGTATTCAAATAGATATTTTTAGATCAAACATGTAGTACAAATTCTCATTAATTTTTTTTAACAATAATGTACTTTTAATGTAAAACTTACCAACTTAACGAAACAATTGATGATGTAATTCTTTTAACATTGTACTAGTAAGAAATCTATGCTATCGCACGGACCCCATCTAGATTTACATTTATGTCTATCAGACCATCATTTAAAAAATATAAATTTATTCTTCAATTGGTTGACATTCACATAGTCACAAATCGTATTTATAATATACACTAACGTTTAATTATTGATCTATATTTATAATAAACCGTACATTCGATTATCTAACTTCAACTATATAAAACATCAGCAAAAAAAAGATTAAAAAGATTGACATTAAAATGAACAGTCTACAGCTGGTATCTCATAGATATGTTCACATATACACGTGAATTCATATGAGTTAACAAATTTCATTTGAATCCAAATGAGTTAATTCTAAAAACTTATTAAATCTATTAGCACATTTTTCCAAACCTAAAATGTATGACAAATATCTGTCAAATTTCAGTTTTATAACTTTTTTATTACATCATATTTACATTTTTTTACAACCTACAATGTATGATAGCTCCTCGTTAAATTTCAATTTTCAAACCTTTTTATTAGATCATATTTACAAATTTTACAAATCTAAAATATATGATAATATCCCATCAATAATCAATAAACTATGTAAATATGATCATGCAAATTCAACTTTAAAATATAAATCAAACCTATAACCTAATCTTCAATAACAATCTTCAAAATAAAGAAATAAAACATATATAAATTTATTGTAAAACTACAGAAAAGAATAAAATCACTTTTCCAGTTGAATCCAGATATAAGTCAATTTTTTCAAACTTAAAATTTATGACAGCTTCTCTTCAAATATCAATTTTAAATCCTTCTTTTATATATATATATATATATATATATATATATATATATATATATATATATATATATATATATATATATATATATATATATATATATATATATATATATATATATATATATATATATATATATATATATATATATATATATATATATATATATATATATATATATATATATATATATATATATATATATATATATATAATTTTTACAAACCTACAATGTATGACAGCTCCCCGTCAAATTTCAATTCTAAATGAGTTTTACTATTTAGACACTTCAGTGCAGAAGTAGAACCTCCAGACAATTCCTCTCGTCGTACTTGACTCCGTCCTCGAGGCCTGTTAACCTGTTGTTCAGCTCTCTCTCTCTCCGAGCAGAGGCGGTCTGGCTTGGCATGCCCTGTCTCAATCGATTGTCTGGGCCCTAGTTATCAGCCATCTTCCTGAAAAATGATAATTGTTAATATGTTGATTAAAAAAATCTACTCAGGCAAGAATTCGGACGTACACATCTGAAACTGGTCAAGGGGGATTTCAGATGTGCACATCCGAAATCACCTACGAAATACCATTTTCGAATAACTTCTTCTTCTTGCCATAAATCATCTAAAAACTTTATTTTATCACCAACATTTAACTACTCTAACATCAACCTACAAAATGTATTTGATTCTAACTAACATAATCTATTATTATATCATTGTAAAGTGTATCAAATAGAAATGGAGAAAACTTACTCAAATATGGAGCTTTGAATATCAGATGGAATGAGTAGGTGAGTTAGAATGAGTACAAATGAGTTGAAATGAGTTGAAATGAGTTAGAATTTTAAGTTTGAGTATAATTTTGTGTGGGTGGTTTGGGGTTTGAAATTGGTTTTGTGTGGAGGATTTCTGATGTTATGCCAAACAATTAAACAATTAAATTACTTCGAATGTGTATATCTGAAATATTAAATTATAGGGTGAATTAGGAGATGCACATCTGAAGACACCCTTTCTTGACAAAATAAAATAATTTCGAATATGGACATGCGAAAACAGTTTTTCTTGACAAATACAATGCGTTCAGATATCGAGTTTTAGAGATATTTTGGATTTTTTCGCCAGAGACCTGCAAGAAGACTACTAGGTGTAAAATGAAATTATCAATTTATTAACCATTTGAATTTAGACCCATTTGTTTTACCTTTTTTTAAAAATAATTTTTTTATAAATTTTAAATAAAAATTTGACTTGTATAGTTATTCTTAAAATATTATTTTAGATATTTCATCACTTTATTAAAAAAAAATTAATATCAAAATTTTAAAAAATCACTTAATTTTAAAGCTATTTCAAATAGTTTTTTTATAAAAATCATTTTTTAGATATAATTTTTTATAAAAATTATGATTTCGACTATATTTTAATTTTCAATAATGTATATTTATATTATAAGATATCAAAATCAGTCTTTGAATTTAAAAAATAAATATAAAATATAAAAAACTTGTAATATCTTAAAAAATAATTTTACAAAATCTATTACTTGTATCATGCTCAGACATTTCTGTATGATCAGATATCTCAACACATGCCTCTCTATCTATCAATATGATCAGACACCTCAAAATTTGCCTCGCCTCGTCCATATCACATGTGCTGCGTCCCTAATATACTGCCTCTACATCTGAATATCCATCCAAATTCAAAAAACTTTAAAATTTTATAAATTATTTTGAAATGCTTAATAAAATTTGTTTCAAATTTAAAAGAATAACATTCTGAGAACGTGCGGCTAAAGTCTGATCCGACTAATGAAGGTTGTTTCAGCCAGATTTCAAACTCAGATTTTCCCAATCACAGCAAAGAGGGGGAAGGGGCAAGGTCACATATAATTTTAGGCTCCAAAATTGTTGGACTGTTAAGCTCATGACAACAGAGATGAAGTTCGGTAAACATGCACAAAGTATATCAGATACAAAATATTACAAAATGAGTCACCAACAAACCTCTCCTGACACTTTTGAAAAAAGGTGTGTCTGAGACGGACACCGACACGACACTACACTTGTGATTTCGTTCGACTCATTCATTTTTAAAAATTGTTATTGATGTCGATGTGTCAGTGTCGATATCATGTATGTGTCCATGCGTCATAGAACAAGCTAAAAAAAAGAACCCAGATGTATTACTGGTGTCGATGTCGTGTCTGTGTCCGAACTTCATATAACAAACTATAGAAAAGAACCCAAATGTAATAAAGGCTAAAGTAAATTTTCTGCAAAGTTCATTCAAATAAAAAAAAAAACAGAATTTACGACTAATACCTGTATAAAATGTCTTACGTATAAGTATAGTCCACTCCATGGTTCGTACCATAGTAGGCAACCTCTCTTCTCTGTTAGAAGAGTAAGCCTACAATGACAATCAATATGATGAAAAAATTCACATAGTCAATGGAGAAAATAAATATCAAAGTCTAACAGATGTTGTATAATCAACTATGCGAAGAAACCATGAAAATCCAGAACAACATTTCTAAGATCAAAACCAGAACAGCAGCAAATTCTGACACCCTGCATTCTATACTAAAAAACATTGGCAACTTCAATCCTCGATAGTTATCACACAAACAGAAAGAACTTTTAAAACATATGATGTACTAACACAAACGCAGAAACATAGACACGGTTAAATTTTTTTAGAAAATATAAGTAATTGAATGTAATAACAAGTATTGGTATTGTGTAGATGGTGGAATGTTACACTTTCCAAACACCGAACATGCCATCAATCTAGTGTTGGTGGTGTTGGAATGTGACACATGCCAATCACCGAATACGCCATCAATCTAGTGCCGGTGGTGTTGGAATGTGACACATGCCAATCACCGAACATGCGATCAATCTAAAGTGTCGGTGATGTTGGAATGTTACACTTGCCAAACACCGAACACGCCATTAATCAAAAGTGTTGGTGATGTTGGAATGTTACACTTGCTAAATACCAAACACGCCGTCAATCTAAAGTGTCGGTGATGTTGGAATGTGACACTTGTTGAACACCGAATACGCCATCAATCTAAAGTGTCAGTACTACATAGTATGTAACCATGAGAAATACGTAATAGAAAATCAGAAACATCAAATTCAAAAGAACAAAGAACAAATTTGCAAATTATTAAAGTAAATCAGATCAAAGTATTATGATATTCCAAGGTATAAATAACCAAACTGTGTATGATCCAAAGTTTCTTACAACTTATTGCCATGACAGGCTTATTTGAAGACAACCTAAATCCCTAATAAAATGACCATCTAAGAAGCCTAGACACAAACACAAACATCAAACACAACCACATGTGTCAGTGTTGTGTCGGTGTCTCTGCTACACAGAAGACCATTACCATATAACTATAACCAACTCCTCTTCCCAATTAGGATCAAATCCGGTATTCAAATTCTCTTCTTCCTATGAGTTAAGAGTCTCTTTTATTTTCTGTATCCTATTTCTTGATCTTTCTATTCTTCTTCGGACCCGGAACTTCTAACCTACCAACAGAACAACCACACTTTCCTCTAAGAACAAGAACAGCCCTTCCATTAATCGGCGCCATCTTCTTAAGCTCCACCTCAAGTTCGCGATGATGATCACACGGAATCTTAAAAAGACCCTTCTTAACACCACCACCATCTTTCCCCAACGACGCCGAATTCTTCACACAATCCTCAGTTTCCAGCTGAATATCAAACTCAGCAGCATTCTTCAACCCCTTGCAATTAGGGTTCCCACATTTCCTCGATATATACGACACGAAAAACCATGTGGCACAAACAGCACATGAAGCACTAACACCTATAGAAACATAGATCACAGGAGCAACAGAAACTTCTTCCCTCACCAAATCAACAATCAAGCAACAAATTTTGAAACTTTCACTAATCACAAACTGAATGTAAGGGAAAACCAAGAACCCTAAAGCGGTTATAACAGCTATAAATATAACGACATCGATAACAGCCGATCGAGATCGGGATCGCTCGCAAGGCGGAATCTGAAGAGAATTGAGTGTCTTACGGTTCCTCGATTTGGGGAAATCGAGGGAATTCGCCATGGATGATGATGATTGGTCAACGGGAGAGATTGAGCTATGGAAATATACCATTTCAATCAGGAAACCCTAGAATTGGATCAAAACAATCGAATTGGATCGACCCAGTTCGATTAAACCTGAAAAGAATGGAAATTTGAAGTGAACAACAAGATTGAATTGGAGAATTTGTTGTGGGCGTTGTTGATCAATGGATCCAAATTGAATTGGGGTTTTTTGATGGAATGGATTGAAATCGAAATTGAGATTGAAATTGAGATTGAAATTGAGAGAGAATTGGAATTGGGATTGAAATTGAGAGAGAAAAGGAAGTGGGTTTAGGGTTAGAGAGAGAGATTGAGCAGAGGAAGAAGCATCACTGCTTCATTGTTTTGATATATCATCTCATCTTCTTATAAATATTTGTGAGTTTTTACATTCATTTTGGTTATATTGGACTTTTTGCATCCCAAAATTTATTATACTTTTGATTAATTTTTTTTTTTGTAAAGAGTTTAATTTTAATGTGCTTTTTCAATCAATGAAAAATAGTAATTTAATAAATTTCTAATGTGAAATTTTTATCTAAATAGTTCACTTTTTTAAATAAATACTTAAAATTTAATTAATATAATATAAATTGTCGTATGTACCTTGACAACTCTTCATATATTTTATACAATATCGTTAATTAAATTGACTCTTCTTTTATATTAAAAAAATATTTATAAATAAGTTAATTTGAAAAATATATAAAAAAATAAATTAGTTTAGATATTTATTTAAAAAATGAATTATTTAAATAAAAACTTCTTTTTATATTTTTGTTGTAAATAGTAAATTTTGAATTTTTAATGTGTAGATAAAGTAGTCAAACCTTATATTTACATTCAACCTCCTAATATTCACTTTTACAAAAGTGATATATATGCAAACAATAAGTTTTTCTTCTTAATATCATCTTATTTTCTTCTTAATATCATCCACACTTTTATATTTTATATTTTTATACAACTATTAACTGAATATATTTAAGAGGCAATAATTTTTTTTAGAAGTAGGATTTTCATGTTAATTAAGATTAATTGTATGCATGACTTTAAAAATGCTTATGAACTCTTTGTTTGTTAATTGCCAATTTTTAAATATTTTTTTGAAAATATTTCATTAATTGATAAATTTTCTTATTTTTTATTATTATTGTAAATTTTATTTTTATTTATTTTTATAATAAATAATTAATTTTTAATTTATAAATACCAAAAATTTATTTACATTATAATAATGTTGAATCATTTATTTTGTAGCTTATATTCATTTAATTCAATTAATACTCACTAGTGTACTTATCCAATATATTTATAATTAATAATATATTAAACTTTAAAAATAAATAATAAAAATTCCTATAAATATTGCCTAAAAAAGAATACAGAGAGTCAAAATTATATTTTTTTAGGATTTGAACTTTTATTATTATTTGATCACATAAAAAACTTTACATTTATAGCATTTATAAATTAAATTCATAAATTACTGTTTATATGATTTTTAAAATAGTTATAATAAAAATTAAATATATTTTGCAATTCGATGAATATGATCAATTTACAATATGGGAAATCTTTACTCATATTCCAAAATGGTGAAATAAATTTGTTTCAAAATAACACACTTTTCTATTTTTATTATAATATTAATTTTTTTCTAATTCTACTTTTTTATTAATATTACATACGACACAATTTTCAATTTAATGTTTTTTATTTTATGATAAATATAATAATATTAAATAAAATTACTTTATAAAAATATTATTCTCTTTTTAATTTATTTATTTTAAAAAATTATTTTACTAATGATATTATTTTCTTTTTTGTTTTACTAAATTGTTTTAATGAGAAATAAAAGTTATTTTAGTACTTAAAATTATATCGGTTTAATAAATTTGTAATTAAAATTTATAAAATAACAAAGTAATTGCTGAAAGGTCAAACAAACTGCTTTATTGCTAGTCACTTTATTAAAATAAGAATAACTGCTAAATTTATTTTAAGGGGTAGATGTAATAATAATTGTGAAAGAAACGATAAAAACTCTTCATATGATACTGTGATTTGAGTTTTACCGTTGCTGAAATTAGATGTCATAAATTAACTTAGTCTTTTGAACAATCAATTGAATTAATTCTAATAAGTTTGGATCAGATCAATTAATTTGAACAAATTAAAGGAATTTAGAAATTCTAGATTCAATATTTGGTAGAGAAAAATACACATTTCTAACATTTTTAATTATAGGTCATTAAAAACATTTTACATGCATGTGTAGATTTGAATGAAATTTTCTCACTGGTAGGATTGAGGATAGGAGGTTATAGTGTGAGACGGGCAGCTCTCAAGGCCACTTTAAATAAAGTGGTCAAGTATGAAAAAGTGTGTTTCGACAATCAACATGCTTTTATATTATTTGTCTTTGATACTTTTGAGTTTCTAACACTAGAAGAACAGTGGATCTTTTACAGAGAGTGCAAAGGGTCATGCATATCAATGTTATGTAGTCTAGGATAATGTGTTGAGAATGTAATTCCCTTGTGTCGAAGCAGAATGTTGCTCGATAGAAGAGTGTGTCGAATTAGTCAAGTAGTGTGTCGAGTTGGTTTAGTTGTCGAAGTGTCGAAGCAGGTTGCTTCCCACAGTATTTTGACTTAGGTCTAAAATAGTTATTTTGGGCTTTTATAGTTTTTGGACTTTAACTTAGGGAGCAAGCTGAGTTATAAATAGTGGGAGAAAAATAAGCTTATTTTTGTAACAACTTGTATTCATAGAATTTTGCAGTTGCAAATTGAATAAGATTTTTTACAGTTTGTGGACAGAGAAAAACTCTGCAGAAAATCATCATTTTCTCCTTATTTTGTCAAACCCTAATTTTCTTTCTTCCTCAATTTTTCATTGTCATTGTGTGGTGATAACAATCTTGTTCATAAAGATTTATTGAAATTCTCCATAGATTTAGATAGATTTCTAACATCTGGTATCAAGAGCTCCGATTAAGCGAATCAAAGGAAGAAAATCATGATGGCAATGAAACATCAAAATAGGCATTTTCCAACAAGTCTTCCAATTCTAAAAGTTGATAACTATGAGAATTGGTGCAAGCAGATGAAGGTTGTGTTTCATTGTCAAGATCTTTGGGATCTTGTGAAAGAAGGATTAGAACCGCTTGCAGAAGAAGCAACAGACGAAGAAGAGGCAGCACACAAAAAATTGAAGAAGAAGAATTATAAAGCTCTCTTTATAATTCACCAATGTCTGAGTCCATAAAATTTCGAAAAGGTTAGTGATGTAGTATCCGTGAAAGAAGCTTGGGAAATTCTGGAAAAATCTATTGGAGGTGCAGAAAAGGTAAAAGATGTGAAGTTACAAACTCACAAAAGAACGTATGAATTGCTTCAGATAGAAGAAAGTGAAAGCATAACTGATTTCTTCACTAGGTTTACGAAACTGGTGAATCAAATCAAGGTATGTGGAGAAACATTAACAACAAGATCAGTTGTTGCAATGATCTTGAGACTTTTGGCTCCAAAGTTCGACCACGTGGTGGTAACGATAGAAGAGTCGAAAGATTTGTCAAAATTGACAAAGGAAGAGCTTCAAGGGACGCTTGAATCGCGTGAACAAGGAATGACTGAAAGAGTTGTAGACAAGTCAAAAAGTGTTATGGCTTGTAGGGGCAATCAGCAAGAGAAAAGAAATGCAAAGGAAACTGGTTCAACAAAAAAGGTAGAGGAGGTAATAACAATTCGACTGGTAGAGGAGACCAACAGGAAGGAATTGTGTCGAATAAGAGAAGATCCTCATACCAAGGCAACCAAATAGGTTATGCTAGAGGTAGATGAAGAGGCGGTGGTAGAAAACCTAACAAGAGTCACATTCAGTGTTTCAATTGTCATAAGTATGGTAACTATTCTAGTGATTGTCTAGAAAAACGAAAGAATCAAGAAAGTGATGCAAAATTTTCAAAATATGAAGAAGAAGAGATGATGCTGATGGTCACAACTCGATATGAAGAGAGATTCAAGGACTAATGGTACTTGGATTCAGGATGCTCATCACACATGTTTGGGAGGAAAGATTTGTTTTCAACATAAAGCACTCGATGAAGAACATGGTGAAATTTGTAGATGACAATACTATAGAAGCTGAAGGTATTGGAGTCGTTCTGATTATGATGAGAGATGGCAAGAGGTCAGTAATTTCCAATGTGTTGTACATATCAGGCATGAAGAGCAATTTGCTCAATGTAGGGTAGTTGGTCAAAAATAATTATAAAGTATCGATCAAATACGAGATGATGAAAGTCGTCGACGCAAATGGAAGGTTAATCTTGAAGGCTCCAATGTCTCAGAATAGGAGTTTCAAGATTGAACTTAATATGATGGAGCACAAGTGCCTTGCGAATATAGCTAGCAGGGATGAATGGATATGGCACTATCGAATTGGCCATCTCAACTTCAAAGACATCAGAGATTTAAAAAGAAGAAATATGGTCTCAGGGTTGCCAGAAACCGACATTCTAAACAAGGTGAGTGAGGAATGTGTGCAGGCACAGAAACACAAGAATAGCTTCAGCAAGGATGCATAAAGCAAGTCGAAGGCTATTCTTGAAATCATATCTGATGTATGTGGTCTTATCTAGGTGGATTCGACTGGAGGTAACAAATACTTTGTTACATCCATAGATGATTTCAGTTGAAAACCATGGACTTACCTAATCAAGAATAAAAGTGAAGTGATCGAGGTATTTTCCAAGTTTAAGTTTATGGTCGAAAGATAAAGTGGTCGAAAGCTCAATATTTTGAGAACTAATGGTGGTGGAGAACATGTGTTGAAAGATTTTGACATGTTATGTGAGAAAGAGAGGATTGTTTATGAGGTGGTACCACGCTACACTCCACAGTAGAATGAAACTGTAAAAAGGAAGAATCAAACCATCATAAATATGGTGAGAAGTATGTTGAAAGGCAAACATTTACCTAAATAGTTTTGGGGTGAAGATGTATTGACTGCAACATA